TGTTTATCAATTTCACATTACACTTGTGAGATTAGATTCAAAACAGCAAGAGCAGGAATCCAAACTATAGGACTTATTTTGAACTTCCAAAAAGGGGTACGAAAAAAGTCGAGCTACACTTAGATTTTATAAGTCTTTGCCTTTCAATCCTACTTGTTTTTCTTCTAAAATAACTTGTAATCCGTGAAGCCATCACCCACCTATAAAGTCAGTACATATAAATAAGATAGTGACATGAATTTCAATCACTTTCAAAGATAGTCGCTAATACATTGTAGGCATTTTTTTATTTTTTTTGCGACGGCAAAACATTAGTCGCCATAAGTAAATTAGGCGGCCGCAAATAGTTGGAGGCTGCTATTTTGCGATTACAAAAAGTATTTGCCAACCCCACATTTGCAACCTCCATTTGCCATTGCATGGGTTGTCGTATAAGGTTTTTGCGACTATTTTTTATTATTTGTTATGGTTTATAGCTGTCGTAAAAAAGATTTTTTTTAGTAGTGTGTGTAAGGCCACAAAGCCATAACTTTCTATATCATATTATGTGGTGTTTTGAGAAGTTGATAAAAAGTTAATTTTTTGACTTTTTTAATTTATTTTGTCTTTTTGTGAATAAAAAATGTAATAGGTGATGTGACTCAAAATAGGTAAAAAACTAAAAACTAGTTTGTTTGTTTGTTTGTTTTTTTTTTTTCCCCACATTACTAATGTGTATCTCTAAAACACAATTAACCTTGTATGTAAGATGATAAGATAATATACTCTAAATAGATGATCATTGCAACATTTATTTATGAGGAAATATCACGTCAATTCATTGATAAAAAGATATTTTCAAATTAGTGGTATTTTTTATAAATATTAATTTGTAAATCATAAACTTTTTCATGATTTTATAATTAAGTTTTGAAAATATCACTTAGTGATGGAGCCAGAAATTTAAGGCAGAGGAAGCACATATTATTCACATCATTAAAAAGGAAAAAAAAAAAAACCACAATAAACAACAATGAGATACCACTAAATTTATACATTTTTTTTGGTTCATTGTTGAGATTCAATATTATAATTATCTGGAGAATTACATCAATATAGCTTAGAAATCCACAATCAACAACCCAACTGAATTTATAACACTATCAACTCAAAAAAAAAAATAAAAATAAAAATCTACAATGGAGAAAAAAATCAACTAAACAAATCTCATAATAAGGAAGAAAAATTCAATTAATTCAATTCTTACCATTAACTTTCCAGTTTAAACTATAAAAGAATGAGCAAAAAAAATATTGGGCACTTTTAAAATTTTTAAAATAAAAAAAAAGAACAATGCTATAGACCCCAGTGACGTGGTGCGGCCTCATTGGTTGAAAACAAAAAAAAAAAAAAAAAACAATTTTTTTTTTCGACCAATCAAGACTCTACACGCACGACCCCCAACACGAGCAAGGATCCTCTAGACTGATTTTTCCCTAAAGTTTCCTAGAGTGCTACATTGTGTGGTTGAGATTTACTGGCAAGTCACATCAATTTTTCTGATGTGACTTGCCAGTAAATCTCAACCACACAATGTAACACTCTAGAAAACTTTAAAAAAATTTCACTCTAGAGAATCCTTTGTGCCCCAACACTCCCACGGGGTCGGAGGCATTTTCCTATAAGGAAAATAGTATAAATATGAAAAAGGGCGGCACGCGACCAGTTATAATTTCGATTGCAGACATCACCATCCAACGTAATTAATGATTTAATAGACTTTTTCTTGTTCAAGAAGTTTTTAAATCAACTTCTTGTTGGAATTAATGAGATGGGTTTTGTTTGAACAACTCATAAAAAAAAGGTGTTTTGAAATGTCTACAATTAAAATGTGGTACCAGAAGCCAAGCACTTGTAAGATAGTTGGGACCCGACACTACAAAAATTTTAGATTTTAAAAACTAAAATTTAGCAATAAAATTATTTTTTAGAAATTAAATATTTTTGTTATGAAAAGTGTTGTTATTATGTTTTTAACAACTAAAATTGAACATTAATGATGAATTAATATTCTTTTGGGATCAAATTTTTTGTCTCAAAAAATAAACTATTTTGAGACTAAATTATTTTGTCCCTAAAAATTTATTTATTAGTGATATTTTTAAAATTGTCACTAAAAGTCTTATTTTTGACTTTTCAGGACAACTTTTTAGTGACTATCCTCCAGACAATAGAAGTTGGTCTCTAAATGTCTTTTGTAACAAAATTCACTTTTAGAGAGTAAAAAAATTGATCTGTAAAACTCTTATATGTTGTAGTGTTTTCTGATCTGTTAGGGTTAAGTGTGATAATATTTGCAAAAATGGTTAATTTGAACATAAAAGATTGAACAAAGGCAACCAAAATTAGGCAAGCACATAAAGAGAATTCAATTGATGTTTTAAATAGTTGGATTTTTCTCTGGTTCAGATGCAGGTGTTGTCTGGGGTCTATAAAACCCATCACAAGTTTCATTTTAATCATTTAAATTATTCATTTTGTAAATTTTTTATGTATATTATTCATAAAAAAAATCAAATTAATCTGATAATCATAACTTTATCACTGTACCGCATTTATTAATAGAAAATTATTAGTCTATTTTAAAAATATACAAATTTACTTGTCATCAATTTTTTTAAATTACAATTATCGGATCGATTTATTTTGTATTTTTGAATGATATACACAAAATGATCTACAAAATGAACGGTTCAAATTATTAAAACAGAATGCATAAATTTGATGGGCTTAGACAATATTTGCCAATGTAGATATGAGATTAGAGGAAAAATTTTTTCTTTAAAAAATAATTTTTTTAATGACATTTTAACTTTTTATAAAAATCGTATAAAAAAAAAGTAAAGAAACAACAAGTTTTTGACTATTTTAATTCCCTCCCCAAACAGCTTGATGAGAATAGTATTAAAATTGACTATTAGCATTTTCCTTAAAAGTTTCTAGGATAGGGAAAAGTTAATTTGAGAGTAGTTGATTCGGACTTGGTATTAAAGTAGAACACGAAGAGGTCCGTTTTACTTTTGAGCGATTAAGCAGAAACGCGGACACCAACACATGACCCTTTCAATGCCTTTCACATTACACAAACACATTCATATTTTCTTATCTATTTTGTTTTAGTAGTTATATGAATATATTTGATTTTCACATAATAAGATAGCCATGTGAGATAAATAGTATATTTATATCTATATTCCATTTTATAAATACTAAATGTACATTCAGATTTATTCATTTTGTTTATTATTTTGTGTTCTTTTCATTATTCCTATATGTTATGCTACATGTTATCAATGTAGCAGTGGCATATAAGATATGACTAGGTTTACCTTAGAATTGGATAATCAAACTGTACATCTTGTCAAATCTTGTATGCAGATTATCTATTTTTAAAAAATAAATAATAATAAAATTAATACAATAATTGTAGACATATAACTTGATTATATTGTCTTAAAAAAATAGATAGTTTATTTTTAAGAGTATAATAACCATTCATTTTTGTAAACAAATATTATAAAATCAGATTTATTCATTTTGTTTATTATTTTGTGTTCTTTTCATTATTCCTACATGTTATGCTACATGTTATCAATGTAGCGGTGGCATATAAGATATGACTAGGTTTACCCTAGAATTGGATAATCAAACTGTACATCTTGTCAAATCTTGTATGCAGATTATCTATTTTTAAAAAATAAATAATAATAAAATTAATACAATAATTGTAGACATATAACTTGATTATATTGTCTTAAAAAAATAGATAGTTTATTTTTAAGAGTATAATAACCATTCATTTTTCTAAACAAATATTATAAAATCATATGGCTATAGTAATTGTGGGATCAATATGGAAATTTTATTATTGATCTATACATAAAATTGACAAGATAAATAATTTAGATCATTAAAATAAGGTTTGATAGCCTTATTCATCATGCATATATGAGGTCTAATATATGGGCAACTCTTACGTGTGTAAATGAATACCATATGTACTTGCGTAAATTCTCATAAATATATATAAATTAACTCATAAAATCGTGTAAGTTTTCACAAATATATGTATGTTAACTCACAAAAAATTGAGAAATAACAACCTCGTAAAATCGTGTAAGTTTTCATAAATATACGTACGTTAACTCATAAAAATTTGAGAAATCACAACTTAAGTATATTTGTGAGAACTTACCTGATTTTGTAAGGTAACTTATGTATATTTATGAGAACTTACGCAAGAGCATATGGTATGTACATTGCACAATCAAACACTTATTGAAAAAAATATATATGACGATAGACTTAGTTTCTCTCCAATCCATTATTTACACTGGAGAATGTACAATGCTACAAATGAATGTCATATTATTTTTTTAGTACTTTTACTTAATCTAAAAGCTAGAATTACTTTTCAAATCCAATAATACGGTAGTCTATTAGAATATTTAAAACAACTCTCTTTGTATCTCATGTTTTTTCTTATCAACCGTCAATAATCTGTTTTACACCTCATTGGATTTTAAAATTGAGTTTAGAAAATAAATTTTTATATACTTCTTTTTAATTTTTTAGTTTTATATTAACATTATCTAATAACATTTATTGGCATGAATACGTAAAATCCAGACCAATAGTAGGTAAGGAAGATATCCAGATAGGGAATTGTTTCGTCCTTGTGGGGCTGTCACATGGCCAAATCTCAAATTTCTGAAGTCAAAGTGCTTATGTTTGCTTCAACAATGAAGATTCTATGACATTGCTCTTTCATTTTTATTTTTTTTTTAAATGGTCAAATAACTAAAGTTTTCATTGACATATTCAAAAGACTAATTCATTTACCTATGAAAAACATAGATACTTCTTACTCACGCAATCGTGGGAGGTTAAGTCGCTAGCTACAGCCACTATATATATCTAGACCTTATGGAAATGAAATTCATAACAAACACAAACAAGATCTTTATATGAAATACACATAAAGCCACGTCCTAAGAAGATATATCTTGAGCACTTCTAGATAGAAAGAGAGATAGAGAGCTCGTTCCGATCTTTGTTTCTTTGTTTTTCCATGTATTGTTTTGGTTTGGCAATGGCACGTCCTGTGTTCTTGCTAACATGCGCTTTAGCTCTTCTAGCTTCTTCACTAGTCTCTGCTGAAATTGTGGAGCATTCTTTCGAAGTAATCTATCTTACACATTTCAATTTAACTTTCTTAATCTATAGTTTTTGTTAGTTGGTGTGGGGCTTTTTTTTACTTCCTATTGTGTCTGCTCTATGCTTTTTTCGGGTACGCTAGACTTACAAGTTAAGCTAACATGGGTTATTTCGGAGATAACCCTATTAACTCTGGCCTTTATTTTTCATTTTTTCTTTAGCTAAATTTTGTCATAATGCCAAAAAATATTCCTCAGTTGTTTTTTTTTTTTTTAAAGATTTTTTTGTTTTGTGATATTTTTATTTTTTATTTTTACAATTAACATAATAGCCCTGACCCTTTTACATTTAACACCTATATATTATTTGTCAGTGCTTTTCTTAGCCGAAAATCTACTATCCTACTCTCAGTTTATTGCTTTAAATTCTTTATCAACTTCAATTTACCAACCTATCTTTTCCTTTTCTAAAATGACACACACACACACATATTATATATATCATAGCTTATATACAACAATATATATGCATATTTTCTTAAACTTAAAAGTTGACTTTTATTTAATATAGTTGATTTCATTTTCAGGTGAAAAATTTGACTGTCCATCCATTATGCCAAAAGCAAGTAATCACTGCAGTGAATGGAAGCCTTCCTGGCCCAACAATACGAGTTCACGAGGGTGACACCCTTGTTGTTCATGTTTTTAATAAGTCTCCTTACAACCTTACCATTCACTGGTAATATGTCTTTTTAAATTATATATATATATATGTATATTTTTGAAACTTAATTTATATAAAAACATGCTAGCTGTTTTTCACTTTTAACTACTCTCTAGAAGATTTAGCTTGACTTTTTATTCATTGATTAGAACATATTCTGATACAATTTATCCATTTTAGCCTCTTGAATTGAATATTATCAAATATCATTATTATTGTTAGGACTATTAATATCAATACTTATATCATTGCCCTAATATATATGCAGGCATGGAATATTTCAGCTAATGAGTGCTTGGGCAGATGGACCTGAATATGCAACTCAATGTCCGATACGTCCTGGTAGTAGCTACACTTACAAATTCAACATCACTGGACAAGAAGGGACACTCTGGTGGCACGCACACAGTCAATGGCTCCGCGCAACCGTTTATGGAGCATTAATTATCCGCCCAAGAGCTGGTCACTCATACCCATTTCCAAAACCCTACAGAGAATTCCCCATTCTTTTAGGTACCAACATCTTTTTTTCCTTTCTTTGTTTTTTGAACTTAAACCTTTGTTTATTCCCCATCAAATTCTTTTAGGCTTCATAATTACTACATTCATGATGATAGCTGATATTAGCAATTAACATTGCAAAGGTGGTTAATATAGTGGACCTATTACATGCAAAGACAATAATTCTTTTTGATAGTTTATTAAAAAATCATATAAAGTATTACTAATTTTGAAAATTTTCATAGTAATGGACAATCTGAAATATTAGATTAGCATTGTAGCATACATTAGAAGATTAGAAAACATATTTGAAATACATCAAAGTCTGATATAAGAAACACAAAGTTCGGATATATTAATTTTTATGTAGCAAGAGATTTTTTTTGGGTACAAATTGTGGAAAGAGATTATTCAAAATGTACGTAGGAGTAATCCATGAAAGTGTGATTGCAGGAGAGTGGTGGAATGCAAATGTAATTGATGTCGAAAAGGAAGGACTTGTAAGTGGAGGTGCACCTAACAGTTCTGATGCTTTCACCATCAATGGTCGACCTGGTGATCTCTATCTATGTTCTTCAAATCGTAAGTACTAACAACTGACACTTTATATTCCAAACATGTATGTCAATGCAACTCATTGGGTCCAATCTCTCACTTTTATATAACATATGGTTGTTTTTTTCTTCCTAGACACACATAAATTGACGGTGGTACAAGGAAAAACATATCTCATACGCATCATCAATGCAGCAATGAATAACCAATTCTTCTTCAAAATAGCCAACCATAACTTGACAGTTGTTGCTGTTGATGCCACTTACATTACTCCGATGGTCACTGACTTCATTCTCATTGCTGCTGGCCAAACCACGGACGTACTTTTCACTGCCAACCAACCACCGGCCTCTTACTATATGGTGGCACATCCATATGTTAGCTCACAAAATATAACTGACAGTTCCACATCTACCACAGGGATCATTGTCTATAAGAATGCTCTATCATTGACTCCACAAATGCCGGTCCTACCAGCCTTCAATGACACACCAACGGCCTACAAGTTCTCTACTAGCCTGACTGCGCTTGTCAATGCGCCTCATTGGGTTCCAGTCCCACTCAAAGTCAATGAACACATGTTTGTGACAATAAGCTTGGGCTTAATACCATGTGAAAGAAATGACAATTGTACAGGGCTATTTGACCAAAGATTCGCTGCGAGCATGAACAATGCATCCTTTCAGTTTCCTACCAAGTTGTCGATGTTGCAAGCCTTCTTCAACAATGTTGATGGAATCTACACCACCGATTTCCCTGATCAACCACCATTGGTTTTTAACTACACAAACTCAAACAACAGCCAAAACAGAGCAATCATAATGACATCAAAGTCAACTAAAGTGAAGAAACTTAAGTTCAATTCAATTGTTGAGATGGTGTTGCAGAACACAGCCTTGTTGGGTATAGAGATGCATCCTATGCACTTACATGGATTCAACTTCCATGTGTTGGCTCAAGGGTTTGGCAATTATGACCCAATAAACGATCCTAAAAAGTTTAATCTCATTAATCCACAAGTACGTAACACCATTGGCGTGCCGACTGGAGGGTGGGTTGTCATCAGATTTCAGGCAAACAATCCCGGTAAGTATTCATGATCAATCATGCGTGGCTTTATCATCTTAATTCAATTTTAATATATATACCAAGTAGCTATAAATCTTTCCGAAGGTTCATTTAGGAGTGAATGTGCTATACCACATTATTCCTAACTTGTACATAAGCTTTCATATACTAAATTATGCTTTTTGAAAAATTTGATGGATACAGGTATATGGTTAATGCATTGTCACATGGATTTACACTTGCCATGGGGTCTGTCGATGGCTTTTGAGGTTGAGAATGGGCCAACACCATCAACTACATTACCTCCCCCTCCACCAGATCTACCCCAATGTTAAGAGTTGTTTTACGTTATTCTTTTTTTATAATAATTTTTGTATGATTCTTTCATTTTTATTTTATTTTGTGTTTCAATATATTCATTACAACAACCATGTAATAAAGTTTGTCAATAACTTATTCTTTCAATTGTATTAAGTTTGCATTCTTTTGAATAAAAATAATATTACAAATATTACAATCTTCATAATTCCTGGCCAAACATGAAGTTTGGTTTGATTTAAAAGTCTGTTTTTTAGTGGGCTATTTGTCTTATTATTATTTGGGAAAATTATTAAGAAGTCTCATGCCACTATTTTGGAGCTTGTTTTAGTCTATATAGTGACTTTATGAGTTTACACACTTTGTGCTCTTGACCCTGTACAACAAATCCTTCCGGTTGTTGCATGTCTATTTCCTCATCTAACTCTCTATTTAGGAAAGTGGTCTTAACATCCATTTGACGGATTTCAAGCTTATAGATTGAGGCTAAGGAAATCAACACTCGAATGGTGGCGATTTTAGCCACTGTAGCACATGTATCATAATCGATACCCTCCTTTGAAGTAAATCCCTTAGCAACTAATCTTGCTTTGAACTTGTCAATTGTGCAATCAACTTTCATTTTCCTTTTGAAAATCCATTTACAACCAATTGGTTTGGATCCATGTGGCAAATCAACAAGTATCCAGGTATTGTTACCCATGATAGAATCCATCTCATCGTTTATTGCTTCTTTCCAGAAAGCAACATCTTGAGACTTCATAACCTCCTTAAAGGTTAATGGAACTGAATCCATATTCAAAGAAATCATTGTTTGTTTACAATAAGCTGTCCTAGTTCCTTCTACAAAGTAAATAATAAAATCAAAGCCAAATGACTTCTCAGTGTTAGCCCTCTTACTCCTCCTTAGCTCAATAGGTTCATTAGGCTCAATGGATTCATGTCGTTCACTTTCCTCTATAGACATCAAAGGAGTTGATTCATTTTCTTGATTAGAATCCAACCTTAGAATGGTTGTGAAACGATTCTCATAAAATACCGCATCACGTGATTCAATGATGGTATTTGTTTCCACTGAACCATTGGGCTCTACTACCAAAAACCTATATGCATTGCTATGTATAACATATCTAAGGAATATGCATTCAATTCCCTTTTCACCTAATTTCTTCCTTTTAGGTTCAAGCAATTTGACGATTGCTCTATAGCCCTATGTTTTCAAGTAACCAAGGAGTAACATTTCTTCTATTGTGGTGTGTAAGGTGCAGACTTCTCATGAATAATACCAACATTTTCACAATATTCTGGAAAATGGTATTTACCGCCTCTATCAAACCTAAGTCTCTTTATTTTGACATTACACTGATTTTTTACTTCTGTCTAAAAAATCTTGAATTTATCAAGCACCTCATCTCTTGAATGCAAAAGCTAGATATGACAGTATTTAGAAAAATCATCAATGAATGTTACAAGATATTTCTTACCACCTCTAGTGGGGGTACTATGCACGTCACATACATCACTATGCACAAGTTCAAGCAGAGATGTGGTTTTATCTACTTTAGGAAAAGGATAGCGAGTAATTTTTAATTGCACACAAAATTTACATTTTTCAAACATATCAATATCATACTTCAGAATTAAATCTAAATTAACCATATCATACATTTTCTTATTATTAACATGGCCTAAATGAGCATTCCATAAAGAAAGAGAATCAACAATATAAGCAGAAATAGATGTATTATTGATAATGTTAAGTTTGAATATTCCCTGATACATGTAGCCCTTCCCAACAAAAATTTCACCCTTAGACAAGACAAATTTGTCCAACTCAAATACTAACTTAAAACCATGCTTATTAAGCAGGCTTCCAGATACAAGGTTTTTCCTGACATCAGGTACATGATCAAAATCATTAAGACTTAAGACTTTTCCAGATGTGAACTCTAGATCCATTATCCCTTTGCCTTTGATAGTAGTAGTTGAAGAGTTGCCCATGTAGAGAACTGTTCCATCACTCACTTGTTCATAAGTAGTGAAACGACTTTTGTTGTTGCAGACGTGCCTTGTTGCTCCTGAGTCAATCCACCAGTCACCAGCATCTTCGAGCATGTTCACCTCGAATACAACAACCACGAACTTGTTCTTGGTATTTGATGCTTCTGGTTTCTTCTTGTATGATCGGCATTCATTCCTGAAGTGTCCTGGCTTGCCACAGTGCCAGCAAGCGCCTTTCGGCTTCTTAGCATCTTTCTCGGGTTGGGTTCTGTCACGACCCCATTCCGTCTCTAGTAGAATGGTGCCGTGATGGCCAGTAATCCGAGATTACCGAAGGCCAACTTTCAAAATTCACACACAATCAGAGTATTACATATGGGGCTAACATGTGTGGAAGCAATATATTTAAATCTAAGTAGTCCATAAGAGCTATGCATAGATCAAATGAAATGACATACTGTAGACGTCCCCCGAACGCCCCGGGAGGGTGAGTCCCGTTCTGTTCATTTGTGGGGTCACTACAGCTCGGACTCTCAATTTGTCACGGTTCTTAATCTGAACCAAAGAGTCCAAATCCGACAAATCGTTTTGAGAAACAGATTTTTGAAAAGTAGTGCCAAACATGGACTGCTTTGCCAGATACAGAGTCGCCACCTAAATATTTTAAAATGGGGAAATTTAGGAAACCCTGACTCGGTGCCGAAGGCCACATGTCCGGCATCACCGGAGTTGTCTCGGCTCGGGAGCTTGGGTACGATCGGGGAAGGTCAGCTATGAGCACCCCCTTTCGCCCGGTCCGAAGACCGGCCTCTACTAACCGTGATATCCATTTTTGAAAGCATTATGTGTCCTTATTCCAGTTATTAGCCTAGAATTACTACATTATGCGCACAGCAAACAAGTATAGACTAGGTTGCCTAATTTGGAAACAAGCATTGCATATCCGTTTTGTTTCGAAAAATGTTTTGAAATTTGCTACTCGCAAGTAGGCTAAAACACGGATTTCAACGAGTTTTTCCAACTCAA